CACCCGTTTGAGCGCTCTTACTTAAAGAATTTGTTACTGACGTCAACAATACTACCCGGTCTATCAATATGGCGTTCCGAGTATAAAATGGCAATGTTTCAGTGTGTGGCTTGCGGTTGTGGTTTCGATTCCTGGTGTGAGCGTATGTGACTTGGAGAAAGGGGCGCCTTCTCAACCTCGTGGTTTTACTCCGGGTACTCAGGTTTCCTCCCACAGGAGAGACCCCTTCGCGTGCTCTAAGATAATAAAAAATGAAAATAAGACTTGTCTGCGATATCACACTCGGTGGAATCGGACGTTAAGCACTAAGCACAACAACACTCAGTAAGTGTAAAATTTCTTAATTAACTGTTATTCGTGTTTCTATTGTTTACAATTGATATCAGATTGCTAGTTCTTGTTAGGCCAGCGACATCATCAATATGGTCTTTAACTCGATGTGGAGTGCATATATTGGTAACTGGGTGCATGAATACCCTAAATATGCATTGGAACTATACTAGAATGTTTACGTCGTATTCAACAGATAATGTTGCATCGCTGATACCCAAAGCAAACAGAAACAGTCAATAAACAATTAAAAAAAACATGCGACTTTTGACATACGTTTATTATAGTTTAAGACAGACAAACATAAACATAAATAATCTATCATATTAATATTTTGATAGCCAGACCTATAGTAATCTATATCTATACACGGTAGAGCTGTGGTGGTTCCATTCCGACACTAATCCGAATGTTTTCGTTTCGTTTTAATTCGGAATAAAGTGCGTTTCGGCGAGTATGTCAAGAACATTTCTTTTACAGGGCGGTTTAAAATCAGATTGTGGAATAAGAAGTATTTTTTCATGACAAATACATATTATAGAAATCATTTTAAAAATCTATATTAGGTAAACAAGATAGTTTGTTACATAATAGAATGTGTGTGGAGGTGGGGCGTGTGTGTGTGTGTGTGCGCGTGTGTGTATGTTTTAGACACGTTTGTAACCGTATTGCAGGTTCAGTGAACGTCAAAGTTCCCCGGGTAAGCTGTAAGCTTATAGTGTAAAAATAAATTGGTGGACAGATTCTTATATCGCTCCGAAGATTATTAATGGCAACTGTTTTTGGAAATGAAATGAAATGAAATAAGGTTTAACGTCCTACTGTTCGGCTTCGACTTGGCTAATGAAGACGGACATACGCCATACCGTGTGCTATGAGGGACATTTTTGCCCGGACAGCGGCGTTACGGCCTACTCTTACATCGAATTCCAACTGCCAGGGGATCTTTTACTTGCACTCCAATGTGTACATAGGACCTCGGTTTTCCATACCATCCGAATGTTTAGACAGCTGTCCCTGTCAGACCCTCCGTTCTGCACCACTGACAAGGGGAAACCACGCCGGAAAATCTCGATGAACTTTCTCGGCCAACACCGGGAGCGAACCCGCGACCTCCAGACTAGCGAGCCAGCGTCGTACCCACTTAGCCACCGTGGCCCCCAACTCTTTTTTGGTCTTTAGCAGTGGGAGAAAAACACACCGGGTTGGGAAGGCGACCCTATACTTTTTGTGACGTACAAGAATGGGATATCAATAAGAGACCTTATGATCTACAGCACACGCGTTAGACCACGTGACCGCCCCAATCCACCACACTCCATCCCTACCCTGTCAAAAGATGAAAATATAGTTTCTTTTTTACAATATTGTTACAATTAGTACATTTTGCACAGAACACACAAACTCTGGAAACAATGAATGCAAATACATATTGTCGGCATTCCAATAAAAAAATTTCTAATCGATTTTGTTGTATATTGCGGTATATTCTTTTAAACAGCTGCATTTTTGGACGATAAATCTTAATGACATAATGACGTAACGTCGATGTTAACTGAATTTTAGAATTTTTTTTATTTTCTGTCAGAATTTGGTATCAATAACCCAACACGCCATCTATCTCCTGCTTTTTAAATCGATTATTTCTTTCTCGATATAGGCTGTTTTTCAAATTAGTCTTGGTAACACAATGAGGTAACATTTGACTGATAAAATCTAAAATGGTCGTTTTGTTTCATTTTTGTATTTCTTGCTAAATACCAGATGATCCATTCATTAAGAGTGAGACCAGATTCATTGATCAGTTAAACACTCTGGTCGAAATGATTAATTTATTATATTATAAAATGCGTACATGTACAACATTACTGGTCGTGCCCAGGTAAATGTCACGTTTTAATGAGACTATACAGGATATATAGGTAATCAAAGATCCTCGAATAACAGGTAACTGGGTATTACCTCCATGCTAAACTATAAAATTATACCAGTCAAGTAAACACCACCCGTTCCATTACTCCTTTTTTTCCAACATTTGTTACAAATTATCTATCCAATGTGTTAAACAGATAGGAAGATAACTCCAGCCCTGGGACCAATATCATAATATTATATCCTGGCTCTTCTGGTGATTAAGTGCAGAGAAGGGGTGGTAATGCTAAGTTTATATTTCATCAAAGTCTTCCATATGATTCATATGTAACCTATGGGGAGTAAATATATTCCTGTTATTTTCTGGTCTGGTGACCACCTTGAAAGAACACCGCTACTTCCAGGAATAATAACAAGATATGTGATATTTATCATCTTTATAAATATAATGCAAAGGTTCAAATACGTCGTTAATTGGCCATGTATTCGGTTGAAATCAAAGGTGCTGGAGGTTAATATCTTATACTTATATACGAACGACGTAAGACAGGTATGAAACAAACATTAACCCTCTGGTTTAAATGCTCTGTAACTTGCTAAAGCTACCAAAACTGATGGGGACTAGTCATATGGGGAAATCCTGGTGTAAGCAGAGATAGGCAATTCTATTGCTATAACTCTACTCTTGATTGATGTACAATGTTCCCACTTGGTGTATATGCTAGTGTGAATGTCATGACTGAGTTCGATGAAGAACATTATCTGCTCGGATTAATCGAAATGACAAGTGAAGGTGTTGAAATTTCGTGTAAGGTTTCTTTGCATCATCAATACGGAGAAATCTCAACGAAGCGCGTATTTTTTTCGTGGAGCAATTGTTTTTTTCTTCGAAACCCCTTTTTTTTAGATTTTCTAAACATGCTGCGATCGATTACCTAACCATAAGTAGAAACTGTATCGATATTCAGAGAGAATTAGTGTCCCTGCCACTGAAATCTTGTAAACGTACTAAACTATGTAGTCAAATTGTTGGGATTTCTCGCCTAAATACAGTCTTTAACGCATATTATTATATTTTCTCTGGATCTTTTGTTTAATTTTTGTTCTCTACTGTCGATCTATATGATACCACAAAACAGTAATAAATTGGAAATGATTCCTGGTTCTTCTCATATTGGCAAATATTAGTATTACCTCAGATCGGAGTTGTATTCTTTATTGATACATTAATTCCTTTAGGGAATGTATTCTGTTTCATGATCGCCATTGGATCCGTACTGTGCAATTACTCGGTCTCGAAATTTATTTTATTAGAAGTCACCCAATTTCGATACTGAAAAGGAGAGAGAGAGAGAGGGAAATGGGGTTTAACGTCCACTCGACACAAACTAGCTCATTTCGGGACTAACATATGGTTTAATTTTATTTCAATAATTCGCTTGCGCGTAGGGGTCTTTAGCAGTGGGAGGAAACCGGAGGACCCGGAGAAAACCCACGAGGTTTGGACAGGCGACCCTACTCCTTGTCACGTACAACAGGGGATTCGAAACCACGCCAGTTGACTCAATGACAGGCCGTATGATACAACACGCACGTGCTAACCATTCGGCCACCCCCCCCCCCCATCTGGAAAGGAGTGTGGTCTTGTATTTTTTCTAATACTGATAGATATAAACCCGTTCATTTCTACCGGTACCGTATTTGTTTTCTCCAGAAATCGGGGATTTTCTTTTAAGGAACTGTAAGCATTTTAATTGGGTTAATTCTTCCCGCGAACTTCTACAAATTCTAATCTTAACACAATCTTACCTACTTCTAAAATAAAACTTATCTTTTCGTGTCAGAAACTCAATTTTTTTTTAGTCTGATTCCATCGTATTATATGTTTGTTAATATAACTAAGGTAACTAAAACTATTTGATAAAACATCCTATGGTGATTTATTTATACAACATACACAAGATGGTTCACGATAAACTCTCTTGAGTTGTAAGCACAGTGATAGTGTAAATTAATCATAGAAATGGGTGAAGTTTCGCAAAAAAATAATTCTGTTAATCTGTTCTGATTAGCTCGTTATCACCTTTTTCTTAATTAATTTAGTGAAAAACTACCAACCCTAACTCGTATCCAGAATATAATCTAAAACAAGCATACACGGTTACGGTGTTTGTTTCTAACATTGGCCACCCACTGTTTCAATTAACTCCGTTAATATATAGTCGTGTTTTTTGGACAATTAGATTAAGCATTTCTCAAATGGTATATAGATTCAATAAAAAATTTCACCATCTAAAAACATTTAATCACATATTTATTCAATTTCATCTTCAATGATGGCGTCGGTGTTCTTTGTGTTTATCTTATTAGTACGGTGTTGCTTATTTCAAGGGGGCTTCGCTAAGATATTTTCAATTTCATGAACCGAAAAGTATCGGCAACCACTGCAACAAGCCACACTAAATCCCGTTAACCTTTTACAGCATTCAACTCATTGTTTATCCATAGTCGTCCGGATTGATTGAAATGATCATCACCGACAGCGGCGTTTCAGCTATACGCTGTCCCTTGCCCGGTCAACACGTGGATCGAACATCAGACTTCCTGGTTAATGAGAAAGCCAATACTCAAGCAATCATAACAGAAATTTGTAACAATGGTGATCTTTTTCAGCTTTCTATGTGGGAAATTGGTGTAAGCAGTTTCATTACCAGGTAATGAAAATCCCTCCATTATGTTTATATAGGTTTTTAAAGTATAAAAGTAAAAATAATGTTTATAAATGTGATAAACTCTAATAATTTTTAAATAAAAAATTTATTATTAAGACACATAAATTACAAACAAATTGAATAAAATATTCATTACTTTAACAGCATCATAAAACAAATTAAAATTTATGATAAATAGTGAACAATCTATCTTCTTTATACATATTCCGGTTGAGCTGTAAACAATCTAATATAATCTGTACCTATTTTATTAACATTGCCCTTAACAGTTCCCATGACATATGGTACAATTTCAATAATTCACTTGCACATTGGGGTCTTTAGCAGTGGGGCGAAATCGGAGGACCTGCAGAAAACTCATGAGGTTAGGCAGGTAATCAAACTCCTTTTCCATGACAGAAGAGAAGGGTAAATGGCCAAAGTCCATCTCAGATTTTACCGGCCTCATACCCACCCCTAAATATGTTTGTAAAAAACTCATTAGAAAGAGGTCCCAACCATCTAAGTTCTGAAATGCATTACAATTTGACTGTTGCATCAAGGATACTAAAGGTTTATAAATATACAAAATATACAATTGAAAATAACTCTTTTTTACAAACCAGCAGCATCTTCCACATGTGATCACATCTAAACCATAACATTAAAACAAACTACATGTAGTTAATATGCAAGATTACACAAAATATAACCAAATGTCTTGAATTGTGGATTTTCTATCCTTTAGTAAAATGAAACTGAAGAGACATAGAGAAATTCTTTAAAAAATAATACCAAATATTTCTGATTAACAGCACCTCATCATATATTATTTTAAATGTTTAGTGATTTACATTGATCTGATGAAGGCAATAACAACTTTGTTAAAAGTTTGGTGATATCAAATAAAATAATTATGATTTAATTACATTGATATATTTATATATAAATGGTTGTGCTTGTTAATTCGACTTGGAATGTTTATGCAAAAATGGGATATGTCTTTAAAAAGTCTCTCAATAAAATTATTGACATCCAAGATATTTATTTTTCATTTTTAAAAAAATTAAGTTTCAATCAATACATGTATTATCATTGACTTTTAAAATAAAACAAAGCCTACCTGTACCTTTAAATCAAATATATTAAAAACCTGTTTCTTCCTTATAATAAATAAAATATTTAATGACGTTTGTTTACATGTGAACAAAATGATATATTAAATATATAATTTACATAAGGCCGACTGGGTGTAAGATCATTTAACCATGATGAGAATATTGTTAATTCTTTGGTTATTACACAGCCAATGAGAACTATTTTCAGAGATTCAAACCTTTCTAATGAGCTCTTAAGTTCAAAAAATTATTTTTAATTTGAATAGCTAACTGAATTGGTGAAAAATACAAAGCTGCATAGAAGAAAAAATCACATATAAGTCTTGGTACAACTGGCCATATAACTACAAAGATACTTATTGATACCAACATCTTAAAATGCTTCTTAAATAAATCTCTTAAAGAACTGAAATGAAAAATAAAGAAAATATTTAATATTCATGGCATATCTCACATTCTAATAATCCATGCAGGATTAACATTTAAAACAGGAAGTGTTTATCACCCAATAAAATAAAATCTTGATGCATCATTTTAGCACTAAAGGAATCACTTACGATCTACAATATTGTAAAAGATGAATCTCTAATAGGAATATTAGTCCAAAAAGATATGTTGGATTGAAATTTCACCAATCTAGCTGTTCGCAATGTAATAAGCCCATGGAGGGGACATTTTGTTATCAACAAAAATTTATTGCTAGGCCTCTTTTATATTTGATTGAATCCAAGCCGGAATATCATTTAGTGTTAGCATTTTAAGTTTGTTTTCTTATTTAAAAGTTAAATAACAAATCTGAGTACACATTAGCGAGAATTGAGTTGTGAGAAATTTTATATTTCAGCAAAAAATGAAAACGATGCATCATTACTTTAATATTAAAAGCTGAGATCAGACACTATCAATTAAAAATGAATATTTCTTTTATAAAATATTAGTTTAGATAATAATTCATTCATTCAAGTTGCACATAAAATATTAACATTTTAAACAATTTGTGTTTGTAAAATGCCCTTTTGACTGCAAACATACCAAAAAGAACACATGATTTTAACAGTAAAACAATGTGAGATATATATGCTTTTCTCATTGTGAAAGGGTTAAACACAAATTGGAATTTTGCTTTTAGAATAACTGGCTTCTTTACCTTAACTTATTTTGTTCTTGTAAAAAATCTTTTAAAACTGATATTTCTAGATAGGAGAGTAAAAAACATGACATCATAACAAACCAAGATGTCCATCTGTTAACATCACAGTAGACCCAGGAAAACTTTCCTATTAACCAATATGGTAAAACAACAGCATACATAATAAAGGTTATGAGCTGCCATGAGTAGGGTTCTTTATGCTGAAATATGATAAACAGAAGCTCTTTAAAAATTTTCAAATATATGCATCAATAATTCTTGTAGAAGAATGAGTGGTTGGTTGAAGAACAAATTACCAATTGAAATTTAAGGGCCATATCACCAGAACGATAATAGCGATTGCGCTCAAATTCAATCCCATCAGCTATCTACTCATAAGAACCATTATCCTAAAAATTGAAAAATATTCGTAAAAAATTGCGGCCCCCAGAGAGCAGACAAGCAAATGTGGTCGGACCGATGGACGGGATGGCAACTGCATTATACTCTCATACTACAATGTGTGGGCATATAAAGAGTAGTAGTCTTTTGTTTTATAATCTGTCTATATAAAATGTTTTTTAAAAAATTCTATCAAGCATTCTATACTGTATCATGTTCAGACGCTTTTAACATTAAAATGTAAATCGAAATATCAACTCTGCATATTTACATTAGACATTTGCTGTCGAAACAAATAACCTACCTCTGTACTAATATATATACTATCATCAGCAGGTATAGTGTAATGTAGAAACGGTAAAAACACTTCTTCATATTTATAGAGATATAAATATAATAATGTGGTACGAGGAAAATCTTTTAGACCATATAATAAAAATAAACTTCTACCAGGATAAATAGACTGAAAATATAATCCAATTTAATATTTATTTATATACCATATAACAAAATCTAAATGTTTTAAGGGAAAAGAAACATTATCCAAATATAAACCTATAAATGTCACTGTAACACAACAGTATGACATGACTTTTTTGTGAACAAGTTTATCCAGACTCTCTTTCTGCAACATATGGCCATTCTTATTGAATTGTAATGTTTACAAGGCATATAATTTATTTTGCATGATTTAAAAATAAATGTCAATTTTGGAATCTGTCAACAAATCTGCAATAAAAGCATGGTATCTAAAATCTAGTTACATAAAAGAACTCTTGTCAGTTCGATTTTGTAGAGAAGTAGAACTCGACAATTAGTGGCCTAGCAAAATGATTTCTGTCAAATTGCTTGCATAATTACTGAAATAGAATTTGCCTTACCATAGTCTCAAAAGTATTGTATAAATGATACATTAAGCCTGATTCCATACTAAATTACAGATGCATTATGTAATAGCTAAGTCTGTCGGTCTTTATTTTGGCTTCAAGTGTTACATAAAATATTAATTAGACATTTATTCACATGACGAGCCAATAACCAACACTTTAGACAATTGAATGGCTGAGATTTAAATACAAGTAGATTAAAACAGTTGCAAGGTTTTAAATTTAAATTTAACAATAAAATGGATAATCAAGTCATCAAGACATAGCCTTGATTATCAATTAAAATTGCTACAATAATAAACTAAACAGTCATTACTATGCTCAGAATAAAGTAATTTGAATGGAATTTTCAATAGATTGATCTTTCATTATCTATTTTTTAACTATTATAGACAAGAATGGTCAGCTCTTTTTCTAAATCTTGCATAATGCATCTTTAAGCCCTGAATTTGAAATATATGGCAGGAAGCTGTATTCGTACCTAGTGTAACTCATTACAAACCTTATATTCCCATAGATTAGTCGGAAATTTAACGCCTGTATCAGTCATACCATGTATAGCTAATAACAGAGCTTTTAAATGTAGAGGATTATCTATATGTAATTTTTCTTGTAATGATTTTTCATCAAACGCCATGAGCGTCATACCATCTACAAAATAAAAAGAAGAATTGGTCCTCAAATGAGTTCTGCTTTGAAGAATTGACTGCGAAGAAACCATAAATAAATTTCAAAGGTAGCTTACAATATATTCAGTTTGAAACCAACTACCTATTTCAAAAAGGTATAGGCTTACAGTTCAACATGCTATTCATTAATGTTCAAATAAGGCTAATGAACGAAAATTGCACTAATTCATGGTACTTTTACATAACATTTTCTTTCAATAGAACGTAGGATTCTTTTATGCCAATCTCATTAAAACACAGATCCTATTTCGTTTCGTTTTTTTATAGTTCAAAATTTCGTTTAATGTCTGACATCATAGAGTCAAAAGCCGCTCATACAACCCCTGATGTGTCCTTCCAGTACAAGCGGTCAGATCTTCATGTAGTTCAGGCCATCGAAAGTATACAAAAAAAAAATAGATCTGTATTTTAATCAGATTGCTATTATGGCCAATATTAGTATGCACATGCTAGTTCTAAATTCAATGTCAACAAATAAAATCCACAATGATCCCAGTCTAAAGTCTTAAAAGTAAAAATACGAACGTAAAAATAACTCTACCAAAATACTAGTGCTCCTACGGTTAGGACTTTTTGTTATTCGCTTAGCCGTAGCTATTAACCGGTTAGTAACCGTTAACCGTATGGTATCAATTTTAAACATAAAACAGAGCTTGTCAGGAGGTGCGAGTCATTACTCGTGCGCACGCTATACTCGCCTGAAAGGCACTACGCGCGCAAAAATTTCAGGAATTTTTTCAGACATGTACAATTCTTTAATGAAAATTTAAACTATCTAAGGCCGTAGTTATTTACTTACCTGGTTAACTTGGTTAATTTGAAACATTTTTTAATTCAAGGATATTAAGGTAGAATATAGTTAGAAATGCCGACAAGTATTTAGATTTGATTAACAGTAGCAAAAGTCAGAACAAGGTCCGTGACTTTGCCGTATGACTACGACGAGTGCTATTAATAGTATTATTTTTTAGCAGTCGACATCGTAGGACGACTGTTACATTCTAAGATTTTCAAACATCAAATACAAAATGACAACGGGCAAGTTTTGTTATAAAGAGGAATATAATCAGACACAACTCTATGTAATGGGGGACATCTCCGAATAACCGTACCGTTGAATTCGAACCGTTTAACCGTCCAGTTCTAACCGTTTACGGCTATCCGACTAGTCGTAGGGGCACTACAAAATACATTTGAAATTAACGATCTGAATATTTTAAAATTTGACATCTTTCCCCCTTAAGCCTCAATGACTTTTTAAAACTCTGTCATAAATTTGGATATAAAGAATTTCAAAAGAGTTCACTTTAATTCCCAAATGAACAATCCAACTAAATATTAAAGGAGGTAAATCACTTATGTTTGGGACCTAGAATTTGACACAAATGAGACGCAATGCATATAATAATGTAATATGAATGTATATAAACTGATTTACATTCAATCGTTGTTTTACTAGAATTTCTAATCAGTTATAATTGGCGAAATACGCCAGAAGTCTCAATCGAATGGCAATCTCTAGCGTCTTGTTATTCCAGTCTACACCGATAATATTTATTGCACATGCTCTCCAGATAAGATTATGGCGTTGCCGTTTGACATGACTTGTGGAATATGTCTAGAGTGTTTATTTTGTCTTAAATATTAGATATCAGAACCCCATCTTTTCCCGGTAAGACCACAACATCAATGTTGATTTAAATTGACAAATAATTTGTGTTTTCGATGTGGAAAATTTTCGATGATATTGAGTTAGAGACTTAGCTACTTTAAACAATTCCATTGAGATCACAAGTTTATAATGTCAAAATGTGCCTGGATAGAGATTCAGTAAAAAATTGTTGGAAATACAACAGGGTTTTGCCATATACAGTCCTCTATAGGATTCACACGCAGTAAAAAATTTTATACATAAACTGGTTGACAAGTTGGAGATGAAAATAATTTGACCAAATGAACAGTCCATGCAAATTTAGCTGCTAGAGAGTTCACAAGAATTGTGGGTATATAAAAAAGAATAAAATTTATATCAATTACCTATTTTTTCTTCTAAAACAAATTCTGAATATTTGTCTGCCCACGATAACTCTGTTAACCATTGACTAACATCTTTTGGTTTCCACGACCATAAGGGTTTTCTGATGAGAAGGTCTTGATCACTATTACGCCAGAACCATGCTAAATATATGACCTAAATATTAAAGAGACATTGTATATTAAAATTGAAAGGTTCCTATAGTCCATCCATCATAAAAGCAAGTACAATGCATTCAAAATACCTGGAATTGGAATTAAAGTTCAAGTGAAAGCTGATGTCGGTTACTTTACTACTACCAAGTTTGGAATTTCAAAGGATTGAACCAGCAAGTCTGTGTATGCAGCAAATTGGCAAATTTTAATATTTCTTTTGTCTATTGAAGAGGAAAAATAGCACAAAGTCCAACTCGAATTCAAAATAAATTTATGCAAATGTCTTTTCACATCTATTTATGTTTATTCATTTGGGTCTATATATTTAAGAACCTCAGAAAAAATTTGACATGAAGAAATTAATTTTGTGCTTTCTTTCTTTAATTTTCAATGTTACAGAATTGATGAAATACACAAGCTTGTGAAATTAATGATGTTCAAAGGGAAGTAACTACAGCTAGTAATAAATATACACAACAAATCAAGAGTCTAACGACAAGCTAATATATCACATTCTATTACATTGACTTTAAATTGTATGTATGTGCACTTAATACCAGATTTCACTTTCCATGTACATTTCTTTTACATTTAGAACTACATACAGTACAATACATGGATCATATCTAGTCCGTGAAAATAATAAAATTTTGAAAGATTATTCTTCACTGAAATATTCAATTTGCTATTCTATTTTCAAAACAAAAATATCCTATGAAAAATAAAGTAGATCCGAGCAGATTTTACTTGCTACAAAACATTTATTTTACTCTTCAATATATATTACATGTAAGTCCTGCAAATCAATTCCAAGATAAAACAATTTGGAAAGTTCTTTTTTGACGTTACTTCCTTAATTGGACTGACGATTCTCCCCAATATTTGTGGGGCATGTCTGCTTACAGAAGATTCTTTTTTTAATCATACACAGACTCCAGTAATCCTTTATAAATACACAACAGTATTGTTTATTTCTATGACAATAAAACACCATTTTGAGGAGACTATTATAAATTTACCACAATTAATACTTACTAGAATAGCAGCTAATGTCAAGACAATACCAGTACAAAAAGCTCTAGGATCAGTTTCATCCTCTCTACTGTCTAACTGACGATCAAATTCATCTAATTTACTCTTGGTGTCTTCATTGGTATCTAACTCGGTTTCTAATTCTTCTACTTCTTTCTTAAACATTTTAGTCATCATATTCCTTTAGTGATTAAAAAATAAAATCAGATGAGTTGCATTTAATAGAAAGTTTGTTTCAAACTAAAAGAAATTTAAGGAAAAATGTGACAGAAAACAGATGATTGAAACTCAATTTAATATACCACTACTTGATCATCCATAGTGCAAGAGATTCTGAATAAATGAGACAAGGAGGGCCACTATACCAAGAGTTGTTATACTGGAAAGAAATAGGGTTTAATATCCCACTATTCTCCACCACCCAGTCTGATGAAGATGGAAGAGTTGTAAATTTATTCAGTCCATAAAACTAGTTTTTTTATACATCCACTTATTAAGTGACCCACTTCTGTTCAAAGGGGTCAAAATAAAATTAAGCTATTTAAGAAAAGTAAAATTACCTTAAGGTTATATTTACTCGAGGGTGTCCCTGCCATTTTTGTCGACAAGTAGGGCATTCTCGTTTCTTTGATGATAGATACCATCTTGCTAGGCATCCTCTACAAAAGTTATGACCACACATTAGAGAGGTTGGTTGTGTCATAAGATTGAAACAGCAACTACATTGAAACTCATCACGGTTATCATCATTTTGATCTACAGCCAAAGCATCACTGTCTTCCATTTTGAAAATTGTTGTGGAATACTTGGTCTATTCAGCAGCTAAACCAATTTTCACTTATCTGAAATATGCGATTTGAGAAAATGTTTTTGCATTCAATCAATCAAAGAAACATAAAATTTGAATATATGTAATCAATCAAGTGACTGTCTATTTTAGTGTGGATAATTGAGACAGTAAATGACAAATGTATTGTAAAAGACCATTATCAACAATAATCTTGAGCAGTTACAAGTTTATATACATAACACAATTATATCCTCAATAAAAACTGCAAAGTCCAAACTGACTATAAAATTTAAAAGAATAATAGATTATGATGTAGTCTTATCTGTCAATATACTGATCAATAGCTTACAGTTGAGCTGAGAACCTGCCATCTGGGTTTCCTAATCTTAATTTAACAGATAATTATAGTTCAGATATTATTATCATGTGCATAAAACACCAAATAGTTTCCAAAAACTGAGGTAGTAACCCCACTGCCATACTCCCCGCAGTGTTTCGTTTGATTAGAGCTAATCCCACTAAACACTGCTTTAATGGAAGCAAATTTCTGTTTAACAACCAATAGCTAACTGCGTTACAATGTCATTACGCTTAACAAAGCTCTAAATTGGACAAAATATGTTTACATAACGTTACGTCATGACTCACGATTTTATCATGCCCAATTAACCAGTGCATAGCAAAATATTGCAGAAAAACTAATTGCGTGACAAACAAGGCTATCAACACGTAAACAATGTAAACAATACTGTATGGAGATGAACAAGACTTTCACCATTTAAAATACCTTAAATCACTGTGCAAAGTTTTAGGGAAGACCCCAGATTAAAAGAAGGGCTGTCAATGTTGCTGTACTTGGGATAGATTTGATTGAACAGGAAGAATAGGCACACTCCCTCAAAAGCTCAGGTATCAGAAGCCAATCCAGCAATGGCCACAGAGGGATTTCTCAGGCCATTGCTTCAGGAATATGCCCCACTGCATGCATCACCATTCATTCTGCAACACATACAAGACTTTGTCTATATATCCTGTCTAATGTCAGTATATATCATATATGAGAACACAGAATAATTTGAGTGTAGTCTCAAATGTTAAAGCACTCTCCCTAGTCCTGTTTTTTGTAAGTTTTTTCTGAGCCTTCAAAGATCCTAAGCTTTTTGAGAATTCTGATACAGATGCTATTCTCAACATACATGTATGCAGTCAGCAGTGTCTTAGGCTACATAACAGTATACATGGTGTTCGAATGATGAATCTGTAGTGAAGAGTGTTATGTAGGCTACATGTGCAATGAGTAAGATCGATGTGTCAAAACACTAGATAAAATGTCCAGTCAATTGCTTCGACTTTTGAAATCCAGATCCAAACTATTGCTCCAGTCTGCTATTTGTACATCACGTCCCATGCATTTCAAACACTTGATGCCTCTTTTCAATTGATATTTTTTGTGATATATCTTTGTATCCCAATTTGAATAGGCCTACTCAAAATGTATTGAAATGTAAGCTGATCAAAATGTGGTATATTTGTTTGACATAGTCATCCTTCTAATTAGGCCCCTCCACAAGTCATTAGAAGTGTCTAGAATACATCTTTGGAAAGGTAAGTAATTTAGTTTTCGATGTACTGTAGGCACCATAATGTTTTAAGGTGTTTCTAGGTGGGAATCGGCCAGCCCTTAAAAAACTCCAAGGCCATTGTTAAAGGGACAATAACACTCTTGCTGGCTAGACAGCTCAACAAAATAAAAAATAGCCTTATTCTAAGTACTAGATGTGTTAGTGTTCTACCTGTTGTGTAAATTATCCATTAAATCCTATTTTACTTGTCCAGAGGGTTCAAAAATATTTTTAAATCCAAGTAACATTTGAAAAGCTTTACATCAGGCTTTTCAAATCATTTAGTTGAATTTTTCCAATTCTTTAAATTGCTTGTGTTAAGATGAAATTTGTATCATCAATTAATTGGAATATTGTATAATAGTACAATTTGTTGACCAGAATAAAGATTGGGACATATTATTCAGTTACAACAAGACTGGTATTGTGCCTTTAAAGTAGCTAAGTCTCTAACTCAATATCATCCGAAGTCCTCGCCATTGAAAACACAAATTATTTGTCAATTTAAATCAACACTGATGTTGTGATCTTACCGGGGAAAGATTGTCTTCTGATATCCAATATTTAAGACAAAATAAACATTTTACCATTGGTACACGAATGAGTTTCAGCACCATTTGTTACAAGGGACTCGAAGAATGAGGGCCTAGACACATATTCCACAAGTCATGTCAAACGGTGACGACATATTATTATCTGGAGATGGAGAGGATGCACAATAAATACTATCGTTGTAGACTGGAACAACCATATGCTAGAAATTGCCACTCGATTGAGACTTCTGATGTATTTCGCCAAGCATAACTGATTAGAAACAGAAACGACTGAGAATGTAAATCAGTATACATTTGTGTCAATTTCTAAAGGTCCCAGATATGAGCTATTTTAGTATTTAATTAGCTCCTTTAAGAATTACTGAATCATTCATTTCAGATTAATTATACAGATTATTATTGCTAGAGTATAGAAGCCATTTCCTGCACACAACAGTTGGTGGGTAATACAAGCCAGTCAATGTCATTGACAAGTATTGTCAAGCGACATTGTTGACTGTGACGAATGACAGAAATATAATACTAAAAAAAAAAAGAACGGTAGGCCTATCAAAACTAGTAATTCATTCCTTTTCGTTACCGAAATATAGATTTGCCCTCAGTAGGAATCCTAAATCCTGAAAACATTTAATACCAATAATTACAAGTTATTGTAAATATTTTTTGGCAGAGAAAGGGAGGAAAATGAAACAGAAACCTTATTCTGAAAACTGTTGCAGCGGCCATGAATTTGTTTACGTTACATTTCAGCTCCCTTATGTCAATCACAAACTGAAATTAATTTGAAAGGTTACAAATTATTATTTCACAGAAGATGAACCGGTTGAATAGTTGATATACAGTTATAGAGCATAATATCATAAGAATTGAAAATTATATCAGATTTTGTGAAAAAATAATCGACTTCCTGTTTGAATTGCTGTAAGCGATAAACAAAATCCAAGATGGAAGTCACACGAACAAGTCAGTATAACGCGGGAAGAATAAATATCAAATTTGTGCATTTAGTTCACATATTCTCATTAATTTATATTAAATACATTACCTCAATATACTTTCGGCATCTTGTAAAAGTTCTGATGCAGAAAAAGTAGTAGAAAGTTGATAAAACTAGAAAAAAGTTGGACTGATTATGGTTGAAAATTTAAAAAATAAGATAGAAAGTCATCAAAGTGAAACTGAAAATAGTGAAAACAGTATTAATTGCCAATTTCAATGGCAGTGAAAATCAGTAGCTAACACGATGCTTTATTGTGGTTTCCGATAGTTAGTTCTTGTTGTGCATTAGACCTAGATAACAAACCTCATCTCTCGACCCTCCGTGTTTTCGAGATAAGAGATGGTGCTATATACTTATATAGTTCTACGTTGCAAAGCCCAACACAAATCACATAGGGCCTCAGTAAGCAAAATTGACAATATTTTTCATCAAAACGACGATTGAATATTGTTATTTTAAAGATGTTACATGCATAATAAAGAAACTTAGTTTGCCACTTGGAACTAAAGGCACCCAATCGTAGCTAAAAACAAGCACATCAGTATATCTCAACGTTTTTAGCTACGTTCTCGTAGCTACATTAGACCTGACATCGACTGCGTCTCGCCAGTGCGCAAGTACCATATTGTCATTAATCTAGCTAGGAGAACGTTGCTAAAAACGTTGAGATGTAGCCTACGGATGTGTTTGTTTTTATTATTACTAATAGTATTAGCTATGATTGGATGCCTTTAGTTTCACCTGGCAAACTAAATTTCTTTATAAATACATGTAGCATCTTAAAAATAAGTTAATTTTATAATATTAGGACATATCCAGCTTAGCCTTAAGGACATACAGTACCCAGCCCAATTTATTTAATGACACAACTTTTGTTTATCTGCAAATATTGTCAGTAAAGTTAATCAAGCAGTGTTGTTAACAAAATGGGATAGGTCATTGTCTTGCGCGAGAGCGCGACCCTTAAAGGTTCCCTGCTTGTGGTTTTATGCTTAATTGTACATGTAGTTGAATGTGGCAGAAATGTCATGAATAACAATATCAATCGTTGTTTTGAAGTAAGAATTGGCAGTTTGACTTGAAGTAGTAGGTTATCTGAAACTATATAGTACTATCTCTGATCTAGAGACACGCAGGGTCGAGAGATGAGTTCTCTTATCTATCATTAACCCACCGATCAATTTCAACACATTAAAATTATGTGCCGTTGACTGTAGTTGCTGGGATACAAATCATTCTTGGATACATTACTTCTTTTAATTTCAATAAATGCATTACATGTACCTGCACTTATACCCTCAATGATGATTAAAAATTAGATCTAGCAGAGAGAATTCCTGTCTCCTCCCCCCCCCCCCTAACAAAAACAAAACAAAACACACATATTGCGATAAAAATTGTCTAATATAATTTTATGTACATTAATTTTGTGTGGCTTCCATTAATTCGGGACCAATGACAATGTTAAAAGACAATGAATAGAAATGTTTAATGACACTTTCTCTTTTGAGCTCAAGAAAATTGCTATATCATTTTACACGTATAACATTGATAAAATGATCCAACAATTATTCATATTCTGTAGTTGCTTGTTGGTCTTTCCAAAAACATTTTTATGAAATGATTTTGTGTTTATTTGAATATATTTCAGATTTCAATGAGCTTTTGGATGACATCAACAATGCCATAAAACAAGCAAGCTTCATTGCATTTGATGCTGAATTTACAGGTAGTTATACCAGTGTATTCTCAAACATTTAGGAGTAAATGGGGAACAGTACACCGATCATTTACTATTGTTCTGTCATTTTCTTTGAATTGCTCCCCAGAAACTCTGAAATGGCTGATTTCCGACTTCTGCAAAATAAGTTTTTAGTCGCTAATATAAAAGTTGACATAACTGCTTAATTTGACTCTTTATACTGTACACCTACATTGTAGCATACTACGAACAGTCGATACTAAAAATTTGTAATTAACTTTAAGGGCAGTTTTTTGAAATTTTGATAAAACAAACATATGTAGCTGTTAAAGGGTTAATATGGCTATTTACACAGGTGGCGGCAGTTATTATTGCTTTTAATGGAGGTTATACTTCCAGTAATGCTTAGTTTGATTACAGTTTTAAAGAGTATACATTATATTTCGTACATAAACAGTTCATAGGAGAATGTGCATAGAATATTTTTAGCAATGTTAACATGATATTGTGTAATTTTGCTAGTTTAGTAATTTAATTTATGTTTAAAAAAGATTCCCATTAGGCCTAAATTCTTTTGTCAGACCAGTTAATGGATACGCGTTAATTTTGTGTCTTTTGATTATTTTTTACTTTGTTCTGATTGTTTTAATTTGTGAATAGAATATTATTATTTATATTATTTTGTGATTGTAGGATTAGAAGACACTAAGCATGGTCATGCCCTTCCATTTGACACACCTGAAGAGAGATACACCAAGCTACGAAAGGTATATGTTTATATTCTATATTGTTTTACCAAAGACGGGGTCTTTAAAGTGACCCCTGGTCAAACTTATCGTATATAAAAATAGTACTGAAAATTTAGTCTTGACTGCAAAAATTACATGTTTTACAACACTTTCAGCAGTTTTAAGATGTTGGAAGTATGTACTGTACATGTATATTTTAAGCTTATATCATATTTGATATTCAGAAAATTTAGTTGTTTGTTATCAATCCGGACACAATTGCTGAAAAAGGGCTATGTTATCTTTATTTAAGCATACATTACGCAAGAGCTAAATCTGCCTATTGCAGGTCTTTCTTTAGGCCTGAATTGTTATCTAAAATTATTAATTAGACATTAATTCACTTATCCGGACTATAATTAACTCTCAATTTTATTGCTAGCCTACGATATTTACTGGATTAGAATCTGATCGGCTACTCAATGCTCATTCATGATTAAATAAAAAAATGGACAATCGAGACTGTTTTTTATCGTACCGACTTTATTTAGTAATGATGATCGAGGCTAGACCTAAAATTAAATTGCTAAATTCTTGGTTCAGAGTGGATCAATTTGACTGAAATTTTCAGCAAATTCCCTTTATATTATCTAGTTCTTAACTATCATAGTGAGAACTGCCAGCTCTTTATCAAATCTCCCATAATATATCTTTAAACAACAGTCATACAAAGCTTGGTGATCAAGTTAATCACAAAAACAGATAGTTTTGATTGTATACTATTCAAAAAAAGTAGGGGATATTTGATTTTGGGGGCATAATACTAAAATATGCAAATGACTACGAAAAAAGTCACTATAGAACCTAACAGAAGAAACATTTCCAGTTACATGTGACGCCCAAACGCACCAATAGCTACCGCATGGAATGCAGGTGATGCTTGGGATCATCATGGGGGTCCAACCCAAGATTTGCACGACTCTGACTTTGAATGTTACAGTCACTGTGGCATTGAATTCCAGGGTGGAAACATCAGTTTAATTGTTTTAGTGACCAGAAAACAAATTTTGATATGCGTCGGCTTACCCAAAATGAAAGGTTACGTGCCCTTGGCATGCTACAGATCGGCACAACACAGGCGGTTGTGGCGCGGACGATGAATGTTTCTCAGTCTGTCATAAGCAGGCTATGGTCCAGATACCGTGATACACAATCTGTACAGGACAGACCACGCTCAGGTCGACCAAGGGCGACAACTCAAGCCCAGGATCGATTTATCCGTACCTTGGCCTTGAGAAATCGTGTCATCACAGCAAATCAGATCAGCGCTCGTCTTCAAACAGACACTGGTGTGAGAGTGAGTGGCCAGACGATTCGGAATCGACTGCATAGGGGTCACCTTCGCGCCCGACGTCCTCGCGTGATCCCTTGTTTGAGAGATCATCACATTCAGGCAAGACGTCGTTGGTGTAGGGATCGTCAACACTGGGATAATCGACGCTGGAGCAATGTGATGTTTTCAGATGAGTCAAGGTTCACTGTTGATTTTTTGGACAGACGTAGGAGGGTGTGGCGTCGTCGAAACGAGCGCTTCCAAGACGTTAACGTCATCAGACATGATCGATTTGGGGGTGGTTCTGTTATGGTGTGGGGAGGCATCACTGTTGCTGGAAGAACGGCTTTACATGTTGTTGCAGGGCGTGTTACAGGCCAGTACTACCGGGACAACATCTTGGCAGTCCATGTTGTGCCGTTCGCACGACGTCATGGCCGCCGTTTCATCTTCCAGGATGACAACGCAAGATGTCACAGGGCCAGGATCGTTACAGGTTACCTCCAACAACAGAACATCACCACATTACCTTGGCCAGCACTGAGTCCCGACCTCTCCCCCATCGAGCATGTCTGGGACATGCTTGGACAGAGGTTACGTCAACGTCAACAACGTCCTGCCAATGTCCAAGAACTTGCTGCTGCGTTGCAACAAGAATGGGACAATCTGGATCAAAATGACCTTAGACGTCGCATTAGGAGTATGCCACGTCGGATCAATGCTTGTTTGGCAAACAGAGGAGGATTTACCCGTTACTGACTTGGTTGTGATGCTGTGGTAACTTTGCTGTTTGACCCCGGGTATCATTTTACCCTTATAATGGTCAGTCTGTGCCTTACTTAGTCTAACGATCATTTGGAATAAATCGATGAATGTGAACTTCATTTCATTTTGTCATTTGTTTCTTCGTCAGTTTCATTAGGTGACTTTAATAACACTTAAAAATCAAATATCCCCTACTTTTTTTGAATAGTATATTATAGAAGACATTCCACAGGATTAACATATTATTTCTCAGATCATTGAGTTTATTATCGAGGTCAGGATAACAAAATTCAATTAACTGTATATATACTTTTCTAAGTTTAAAGTTTACATATATTTATATTTCAAGGGATCCTTAGATTTCCTCGTTTTACAGTTTGGGCTCTGCACTTTTAAATATGACAATAAGAAGAAAAGGTGAGCTAGTACAAAAATTGATATAATAACTTTCATTTTAATGTTCACTCCCCCCTAAAAACCAATATCAAATAAATGTACATGTATACTATATTTTCAATAAGTGAAGTCTGTTATTGTATTAACAATCTGAGTCAGGTGATTATCTACTGTTGATATTTATTTTATTTTTCTTATATGTTAATCAATCAAATGGAGTGGATTAAAACGTGCTAAAAAAAGTACAAATGACTAGACATAATTAATTCATTCTCGGAAAGAGCTTGACAATTATTAATATGGAGGTTCCTTAGGTAAGAGTTATTCAGGTCTGTTCAAATAATTGGGCAGTGGCATGTGAGTTATTAACAATTTGAAAAAAAATACTTAATAGTGAGTTATGTGTGTTGTTGACACTTTCAAAAAAAAATGCTTAAACATGCATTATGCAAGAGCAAAATCTGCTTATTACAAGTCTTTCTTTAGGCCTGAAATGTTATCTAAATTATCAATAAAACATGAGTTAACTTATCCAGACCATAATAAACTCTTGATTTCAAGGCTAGCCTTCGATGTTGACTGGATTAGATTCCTATATGCCGCTAATGGCCGTTGATAATTAAATCAGAAAAAGTGGATAATCGAGACTATGCTGTTTATATTAATGATTTTAGTAATGATGACCGAGACTATGCAAAAATTTTACCTGCTTCTTTCTCGGCTCATAGTGGATCAATTTGACTGAAATTTTCAGCAAATTACCTTTACACTATCTGGTTTTTAACCATTATAGCGAGAAATGCCATCTCTTTATCTTATCTCCCATAATGTATCTTTAATAGTACTAGTTTAATAGCTACTAGTTTTTTTCTTCTGCAAAATCTTCAGGCTTAAGTGAAACTGTGCGGCTGTTTCCCTATAGTCGTTGGAGATTGGAACACCCTCTTTGTTTACATTTGTACTAGTACCTAATAGGAATTCTTCACACTGACTGATGCTTTATTATATTTTCTATTTCAAAGACATATTGCCCAACCCTTTAATTTTTATGTATTCCCGAAACCATATTCACGCCAGGCTCCAGACAGAAGATTTATGTGTCAAGTGAGTTGAATTAGACTTTATGTCTATTAAAACATTTATCATTCTAAATTTGGAATATTGTCATGATATATTTTTTGCTGAAATTTAAAACATTATTGAAGATGAAATTCCAAAACTTTAGAACAATATCCTTGTATCCAGCGGTTACACTTCAAAATCTTTCCATATCATCAATTTTTGATGCATTTTGTTTTTTTCGGATTTACTAAATATTATTTCCCAAGAATGTGACATTATTTAGCATTATTCCCAATTTTATATCTTTTACACGTAGAAACTACAAATCTTACTTTACTGTGTTTTTAATTATGGTTAAATTCTTTAAAATTCTGGGCAAGTAAATTGACTTACTGGTCAGTTTTCACATTGATTTCACTGTTGGTTAGTAAATATGACTTACTGGTCAGTTTTCACAATGATTTCACTGTTGGTTAGTTAATATGACTTACTAGTCAGTTTTCACATTGATTTCATTGTTGGTTAGTAAATATGACTAAAACGAAAGGAAGTGCTTGTATCTAAGGATTCATTAATTATCAGAATTTGATGCAATTTTTGTTTTGTGATTTTTACCATAGGCTTCAAAAGTTATTAATTTTCTTTCAGAGTTCCAGTATAGATTTTTTAGTATCACAAGGTTTTGATTTTAATAAAGTATTTTGCGAAGGTAATAACTTCTTTTCTTTTTATTTTAAGAACTCGTATGTCATTCATAATAACACAACTTCATGGAATTATTACTTCTTATTTTACTGCATGAAATGTTTCAATACTTTTACATTGCTTGATAAAGATAACCCATAAAAGTATTGAAAACTGCATGTAATAGAATAAGAAATAGTACATCCATAAAGTTGTATTAATGAATATTATACCTTAGACACTAGTAGTGCATATTCTAATTTCTTATAGTTTAATTATCAAAAAAGTTAATTGATATATTTCAGGCATACCATACTTAACACCAACACAAGAAAATGCATTAAAAGAAACAATTGAACAAAAACATCTCCTACACGCTCAGTTTTCATCGCCAGCATTTACTAGTCCACATGGTCAAGATATTGGCCCTAATAAAGGACCGATTGCTATACCTGATGACCAGAAATCTTTCATTAATGGAATAGTGTAAGTAATTACTGCATCAGGTTAATTTTTCAACTATTACCATTTAAGATTTAGAATATAAACTAATTTTGTTAATGGCAATTAACATCAATAAATGAAGCCAATGCTCTTTTAAAATAGAAAATGATGCTTATCATTGACCATAAGCAATTAACGTTAATGACTCTCACTTAATTGTTTAGTCACAGTTCTTATGATCAGCCTATTTCCTGCAGAACATAAGCATGTATAATGGTCTACATACATTTTATAAACTGTTAGAGGATTTTTTGCATTTTTCAGATTTATTGCATTTTTATTTCCAATGAGAATTTTATTATAGAGTTGTTTTTTTTTTGAGAAATTAGATTTGTATATAATAGTTGTTTTTGTCTATAGAGATAATATATAGTTGTTCTTGTTTTTAGAGGTAAGATGTGGTTGTTTTGAGATAAGATATAATTGTTTTTGTTTTTACAGATAAAATTAGTACTATTATATAGTTGTTATCATTTTTAGAGATCAGATCAGTATATTTATGGAGAAATCAGAAGAGGAATCATTAAATCTGCCTGTATGTAATGGTTTTCAGCGTAAACTTATTTATCAAACAGTAAGAAACAAGTAGGTGATTTATTTACTATCTAGAACTATGGTAGAACTCTGTTTAAGGCCGCAGTTAATTAATTGTCTGTTTCTCATGGCGCGCCTGCATGTCCGTTTTCATCCGTAATAATTACACATTTCCATAAATATTGGGTTAAATTTAGTGAGGACCCAAATTCGTCCTGTAAAGATTGTAAAACTATAATTTGTTTGCCTTTAAATATAAACGATTAATTGACGCATTAAAATCCCTATTTATCGATAAAATGTGAATAAATCATGGATGACCAAGTAACCGACATTAGTTATTACTGAAATAGAAACAAGATTAAACTCAAAAATTTTAGATTCCAGCTCAATAATTAATAATTACCTCATGTAGCATGTATATTTCACAAACACAGGTCATGAGAAACAGACAATTAACTGCGGCCTAAAGTTTAAACACCTAAAACTAACATAATAACTATGGAAATCATTAATATGAAATCCATTAAGGCCTTTATAATCTTGGATCAGCTAATTTGAGTAATTTTAAGAGGACAAGATATGTATTGTAATAACAGGATTTAAAACCCATGGTTTCCACTAATTTTATTTTTTACAGGTTTAGTTCCGTACATCTAGAAGCTAAGAAAGGAGAGAAGAAAGATAGATATATATGTGTCACAAAAATAAGTGGTGAAGAAGAAATGAAGATGAGAGAAGGTGCTAAACAGGCAGCAGAAAGGGTAACTATTAAATATTTTGTTTTATAACCTTTTGACCATCAGGCATGTGAAGGTGGTTGGGCAGTTGAGATGTGTAATGTCTGCACTTTAGATCACAAGTTCTGCCATCAATGCTTCCTTTATGGCTTCAATTCCTTGCTTGTACATGACAAGGAGTAGGGCTAGACTAACCTTACCTTCTTTGCTTTCCACATGATTATATATTTTTAAAAACTAGTCTGTGTTAAATGGATGTTTTTTTGTTTATTTTTAATAGGCAGAAATAGATGATGCTGTTGGGTTTTCCAAAGTAGTAAGAATGATATCACAATCAGTAAGTTCTGAACACTGTTTGATTTTTACTGATGTACATATTGTAAAATATTTTAGTTTGGTGGCTCTGAGCCTATTGCAAACCTAAAACAGAAGTGATTTCTTTATTTTATGTTCTGTAGCCTGCCTGGATAAATTTTGTGCTTGTTCTGTATAAAACTGTACAAATAATGTCTAAAGTTTCTCCTATTGTAGGGAAAGTTGTTAGTTGGACATAACATGTTATTAGATGTAATGCATACTATAAATCAGTTTCATTTTCCATTACCCGAGGTAAGATATTCTATTATAAAGAAGCCATAAGGACTTATAGAGTCACTGCAATATGTCTTTTTGGCTTATTATGTATGAGTAACTGAAAGAATATAATTTTCCAAGTGTTAGGTCATATGAAAGAAATTTTTTCTGGTTCTCAGATACTGCCATGACACGCAAAACGGACCACATGATCTGTGTTTATTTTAAAGAGTAAAAAATGAAATATTTCCCTATTGTAGGAGGGGGGGGGGTGGATGGCCGAATGGTTAGCACGTGCTTGCTGTATCATAAGGTCTGTCATTGAGTCAACTGGTGTGGTTTCAAATCCCCGGATGTACGTGACAAGGAGTAGGGTCTCCTGTCAAACCTCGTGAGTTTTCTCCAGGTCCTCCGGTTTCCTCCCACTGCTAAAGACCCCCATGCACAAGCAAATTATTGAAATGGAATTGAACCATGTGTTAGTCCTGAAATGACCTAGTTTGTGTCGAGTGGATGTTAAACCCCATTTCTCTCTCTCTCTCTCTCTCTCATATTGTAGGACAAGTAACTATTAAATATTTCGATTGAATTTAGAAATGTCAAGTAGGAAATGAAATGGGATTTAACATCTTACTTTTCATATCCACCAAGGCTCTACATGGCGACTAAATCACTCGCCATGGCGACCAAATATATTTTCTGGCTAGTTAAAATTTTCTCTTGAGTCGCCAGCTGGCGACTGTAAGATTTTTTTCTCGTTTTAAAATAATTACAAAGTTTTTTTTTACAAAATTGAATTTGTTTATTCAGCGCTTCGTAAAACCGGAACTTACTAGGGGAAATAACTCCAATTTAACGACAATATTTACGACATTCATATATTTTCTTACCATGTGCCGAAAATCGTTCTAACTTACGGCAATGTATACAAAATGTCCAACTACGCATGTTGTTGACCCATTTTTCTAACCCATACATTAAAGTTATTCCCTATATGTTAATAAAATGAATAAAACAAAATCTTTTAAGCTCTTTCTTTAAAAAAAAGGAAGATTCCTCTCAGACACAGATTAAAAAAAACAACGCGTAATATCTAGTAGTGATTTACGTTACAGACTACAGTTAATAGCATTGTAATTTCTGGCTACTAAAATTTTGGTTCTGGCTAGTAAATTTTTAGCATTTAGTAGCCAGTGAAGACTGAATTTTCCATGCCCATATTGACCCTTGATATCCACACAAAATTATAAAGTGCACACCTCAGATAAATGTTACCGACAATCTTAAATCATACTGGACTATGTTAAGTTGACTCAATGGTATCAGGAAATTGTGAAAACCATTGATTTGCTGAATTCTTAAAGATCTATTTTATCAAACATTGGTATCTCTACGTACCAAAATAATACTGTTTGTCATTTTACGATTAAGAGTATAGCACCATACAACTGCTCCTTTAACTTTGGTGGCTGAGTGGTGTAGTGTTCACTTGAGATCATACAGGCTGTCATCAATTTGAATAGTCTGGATTTTCGATCTCAGGCTTTGACATGGGGTAGGTTGTCTGACTAACTCCCTGGGTTTGCTCAAGTTAACTACAGCTGCTAAAGATTCCGTTCACAAACAATTTGTGGTCAAATGAAGCTTTACTTAATTTGAGGGATTCGTGGTCGCATATATACTATATACTTTTGGTCATATGGTCTGTCATCGAGATAAGTCAATGGTTTCCATCCCTGGACTAGGGGACACCTGCATAACATTGTGATTTTGATCAAATTCTTCTGTTTCCTCCTTAGACCCATGCAAATAAAGATGTACCATATGTAAGTCCCAAATAACCTAGTTTGTGCTGTGTGAACCATAAACCTCTTGTCATCTATAATCATTTTACCAGATAAATAGTGAACTTTGTATTTTCTGTTGTAGGAATATGAAGATTTTAAGTCTATGACTAAATGTATCTTTCCCAAGTAAGTAGTGGTGTTTGATATGTTTTATAAACAAATTATAAAACGTTTTATAAAATATCGAAGCACATGATGTCAGCCTCACTATTGGTTTGTTTTATTGAGAATTAGCGTCATTTATTGTTTTCTGTTGTATTTTTTTTTTAGATTAGTTGATACCAAGTTAATGGCTCAAACTCATCCTTTTAAGGTATGAATAAAACACTTGATATCTATTTCAAAATGAAATTATTTTACACTTTTGTTATAGTCACATTATAATTAAAGTTAATATAATACTAGATTGTTGTAAAGAAATGTTTAGCATATTAAATTATTTTCAGGATCATATTCCAGTTTCTGTTCTGGGTGATTTACATAAAACATTGTCCTTTAAACCATTTGAGTTAGCAGAGGTTGGTATGTATTATATTTTCTATTCATCTTTTTATAGATTTTAACTTGTCTCTGGTAGTGTATAATAATGATACACAGTGTGCATAATAAATCCCTTGACAGTTGGATGGTGTTGATAGGGCAAATTCTTGAACATGTAATCGTAACCATAAAAATTATGTAAGAAATAAAAAGGGCTATCAAGACCAAGTTATCCCTGAGTATCTGTGACTATTTTTGTTCGTATTGAACTCTTCAAACTGATTGGGTTAGGCTAGTATTCATTTCTGAGATAACTAGGATACTTGCCACAAGAGATAGTATATTAGCAAAGTTATCGAGGTTACACCTGTAAGAGTGTTATAGAGCTACATATAAATTCAAAGTTGGAATACTCAGAGGTAGGGAGTTGTATAACAAGGTAGAAATGGGTTGGGGTGCCCAATTTTAGATTTGTTTTTGAATTTGTAATAGTGTAATTTTTACTTTGGCATAAAAATTATTTATGTCTTGCATTTCAGAATAACTAAAGTACAGTATTGAGTAAATATTAAAATCCATTCCTCAAGTGTATTAAACAATGAATGATATATATTAGTTATTATATTAAAGTCTATTTCCAATATTATGCAGAAATTATTTTTATAAATTATACGATGTTGATTTATGCTGATATTTTATGTATATTTTAGAGTTTCCTAAAGGTTACACCAACTATAATGATAATAGTAAATATCATGAAGCTGGTTATGATGCCTTTGTAACAGGATTGTGTTTTGCTAGTATGAAAAATTTCTTAGGTAAATGAGAAAATATAAACTTATTAATAGCTGTAGTTATTAACTTCCCTTTATAATTCTCCTAAATGGATAAATAAATACCCCATAAATGATCAGTATTTGAGATATTGAATGAAGTTATTGATATATCACGAAATGATTTGTTAATTATTACAGGTAGTTTCCAGAAACCACCCAAAGATTTTGTTTCACCTTCTTCACCTTTAGTAGAACCATTTATGAATAAGTAAGTTTTTTTCATCGTCTTAATTATACATCTTAAAAAGTTTTACATGTCTGTATCCTAAAATGTAATACTGTTAAACATTCAATTAAAGCAGTGGTAACACTAACAAGCTTTATCGGCTCATTAATCATTGTTACATTTACCGTGGTAAAGTTGTGTTTGTGGTTAGTTGTGTTTAAGTCTATTCATTTCCGTAAAACTTAATCAATGCATGTATTAACGGTTACAGATTGAAGTAAAAACAGAAATAGTTGAATTAAATATTTTGATCAGTTGGCCAACAAACTGGTAGACCAATAAAAATAATCAACCATATTTATTAAGAAGTGTGATAATTGCATTACCATTACTTTGGGAATATGCATATTGGGTTTGAGCAGGGTCTAATTTAATACTGTTAAGCCAACAAAGCTTAGTTTTTTTTTAGATTTGATTATCTAACCTAAACCTTACAGTTAAAAAATAAATAGCAATAAGTTAAAGTTTGTATAAAATATTTTGCATTCTGTATCTATTTATGTTATAGATTATTTCTGATGAGGAATTTTGAAGTACCTTATATGAATCTTAATGGAGCAGATTGTAAGTTAATATAACAAATTACTGATCTGCAGAGGCTACATGAAGACTTTGTACATATGAAATATATTTAATAACAGTCTCACTCTTCAATAAATTTGTTCGATCAGATGAAAATTACAGTGAATTTCTAGTCTAGTGTTTTGTTTTTTTCAGTAACTGCCAATAGAGATCATGTATTCCATATGACCTTTCCTAAAGACTGGAAATCTAATGACATCTCAAATCTCTTTTCTGCTCATGGTATGTACAGTAATTAATATTTAATATCATTTATTGCCTTTATAGAGCACCTGAAATCCAACACTGATTTAAATGAAATAGGGTTTTAAGTTCTACTGTCCTGCTCCAACTGGACTAATGAAGACGGGCAATGCGTATATAGTTATATGAGTATAACTATACTTCTTTTTTTTTTATGAGCCAATTATGTAAGAGTGTTTAGTAACTGTCAGTCTATCCAACTTTTCTTGTGAATGTTCTTTTCTTATTTTTTTTCAAATTTCAAAGGATTGTTCATTTTGTGGTAGAAAAGAACCTTATTGAAAATCAAAATTTCTCAAGCTCAATTTTCAGTCTCCCTATTTACGTTCAAAGTCGCAAAAGTTTGTGAACATGATACAGGAAAAAGTTCTTGATGGAATATTTTATAACTAGGCATAAGCAATAACACTATTAAATTTTCATATCTGAAAGTTCAATCGCTTAGTGCAGAGTTATCTTTTCTGTTAATCTTGTGAACATGATTGTTCATTTGGGTATCAAGAAGAATTGTATTGAATTTCAAAATTTAGGATCATAAATTTCCAAAGCATTTGTACTATTGCAGAGTTATTTTTTAATCCACATTTTTAATTTAAAATCTTAGAACAGATTTATTCAAACTTGCTCTGTTTAATTGTTGACAATGATTTAAATTTAGCATGAATGACATTGGTATTAGTGGGTGTATAGGGTGCCAGACAAGCCCCCATCTTTAGTATTTGAAGCATGTTATTTATATTACACTATATATAACAGGTAATGTACAGATCTTCTGGTTAGATGATACCACGGCTCTAGTTGCACTTTATAAAAAAGAAAACTCAAAATCAGGTAAGCATTAGTAAAATCTATTTGACCCTTAAATGTGTTGGGACTTGAGTGCCTATACCCTTTTAAAAGACTATGAATGCCCCAATTCTGATGTGCTCACTATTATTAGAAAAACAAAATAATTCAGTGACTTGGAAGCATGCAATTTGTAGTGTGTACCACACACATATGCCACTAGGTCAAAAGAGCTAACTATCAAACCTACATTATGTTGCATTAGACTCCAGAATCCACTCTTGCCTCAAAGTCTAAGTGTTTAAAACAACTCAGTTGATATCTCTTAAAATAACAATAATTCTTAATCTGATAGTTCGATAGATGACTAAAATATTCAGACTCTTTGCACATGTTTTCTGAGATTTAGGAGTCATACTGCGGAATATATTATTATTTTATTGTGCATTGTAATGTATTATGATAGCTTAAATATATGCAAGATAAGATTCATGGATGTCTGGAACAATTTATGGTTGTTATTACTACACATTTAGGTCTGTAGTCGTGAAGTTTTTGTATGCTATCTCCTTTCAAATTAGTTCTACCAGCTTGGAAATGGCATAATCAGGTTTGTCAACCCCTAAAACGACATATCACACTTCTATGTTGCTATTGGTATTGAAACTTGAAAGAATGCTTTTCCTGCCAATTTCTATTTTGGATTTTGGTGGCCATATTGGATCAACCATTTGTGAAATGAATCAGAAAAGGTCCATAATGAGTCGGTTGACCAACAAAACCTAAACGGTGATATATTACACGGATCATTTTGCCAACAGTGTTTGTTAAGGTCAATTTCAGACCATTTTTGGGGGGTGGATGGCCGAATGGTTAGCATGTGCGCACTGTACCATAAAGGCCTGTCATTGAGTCAACTGGCGGGGTTTCAATTCCCCGGTTGTACGTGACAAGGAGTAGGGTTGCCTGTCCAACCTCGTGGGTTTCCCCTGGGACCTCTGGTTTCCTCCCACTGCTAAAGACCCCTACGCGCAAGCGATTTATTGAAATAAAATTGAACCATCTGTTAGTCCCGAAATGACGTAGTTTGTGTCGAGTGGACGTTAAACTCTATTTCTCTCTCTCTCAGACCATTTTTGTTGGTTGCCATCTTGGATTTTCTTTAGCCTGTGACCTTTAGTGGATTTGAATACATTTTGTGATGGATAATATAACTTTGATAATCGAGACTTTGTTAATTATAGAACCAACGTTTGTAATGATGATCAAGGCTAGCCAAAAATTGAATCGTTAATATCTTGGTTTAGAGTGAAGCAATTTGGCTGAAATTTGCAGCATTTTGTTTTTATTATCTATTTTTTTAACTATTATAGCAAGAACTGTCAGTTCTTTATCTGATCTTACGTAATCAGGGGCGGATCCAGAGGGGGGTTTGGGGGTCAAACCCCCCCTGCTCAGCTACATAAATTTTTTTGTAAATCAACACCTTTTTATGAGAAAGATTTCTTGGCCGTGTGCTTTAACCTTTATCGTCAGATTTGGGACAGGATGGGCACTCAAAGCACGAGATAATGATATAGACATAATGTGATATCACAATTAATGCTTTGCATCCATGAAATTGAATCACAAAGTCATTGTATTTATTCATAACAAAAATTGACGTCAAACGAGGTGTTGAATTTCTCTGTTTAAAAAGATCAATGTGTATGTATATACCCCAAAATGACGATAGAGACCAAGCGGGAGGGGGGGGGATACATTGTCTCAGGAACATGCCCCCCCCCCCCTGCAAAAATTCCTGGATCTGCCCCTGCTAATGCCCCTTTAAGAAATGTGTTGGTTTAAATATTGATCAATTAATTAATTGATATTTTATGTTTTCAGCATATGATGATTTACATGTACAAAAGTCTAATTTTACCATTCAAAAATATAAAGACTTCTTGAGTTTTTCCGATGGAGAAAAGCACAACAAAAATAGTCATAGTAAATCTACTGTTAGAAAACGTTCACATAATGAGACAGATAATGATGTTCCTTCTAAAAAGAAAAAAACACTGAATGTTGCGTAAGATATTAATTTATATTTTTTATACGTCCACATTCATATGCATGCCCGACCCCCTGGGACAGAGCCACGCACAATTTGTCTTTGTGTCACCTACAGTATTAAGGACGGCAACTATTGACTTTTAGCGGGCAGAGCCACACCCAATTTTTGTGTTTATGGTATACTGGCCGCAAATCTGAATGTATCATCTTCAACATCTTCAAACTTGGTATTTGTATTCCTTATAGCCTAAGAGCGGCAACTATTGATTTTGGTGCATGTCCCGAACCCGGGGCAGAGCCACCCCCATTGTTTTGTGTTTAGTATCTGAAGGCTACAATTCTGAATGGATTTTCTTGGAACTTTGTAGACTTATTCCTTTTACCCCAAGGGCAGCAACTATTGATTTTGGTACATGGTCCACCCTCCTTGGCCAAAGGACAGCAACTATTGATTTTGGTACATGGTCCGCTCCCCTTGGGCGGTGCCACAACCACTTTTTGTTAATATTTTGTCTGTAAATAATCTACAGGTTGCAATTATTAACATATCTGAATCCAATTCAATACGATCCATCAAAGGGTTTACCTGTTTATGTTGGTCCATGTCCAACCCACAGGCGCAGAGCCAAGCCCAATTTTTGTCTTTTTGTCTACAGGCTGGAATTCTGAATCTGAATGGATCATCTTGGAACTTGGCATATTTATTCCTTATACCGTAAGAATAGCAACCATTTTTTTTGTGCATGTCCCGCCCCCCAGGGGCGATGTCACCCATGTTTTGTTAAATTTAGTCTGTAAATTTGGCAAAACAAACCCAATGCCTAGCCTTCTTTATTTTAAAAAGTACCATGTGAATCAAAGCAGGAATGTGGACGTATATTGCAGCTATAACGATGCTCTTGTTGTTGATTTAACTAAGATTTATACCGTGTGATATTACTACTGTATTGTGATTATTATATAGGCCTACTACCACCACACAGGACTTTTTGTGGCAATAGAAAAGGCTATTATCTACAAAACTCATTCATATGCATATCATTGCTGTTGTCATGAACTAACTTACTATCCCACGCCTAACATAGATGAAGGGAGGGATATGGAAATAGGCTCTGTCCAGATTTGATTTCTGGAGAATATCTCAAGAATCACTCAAGATATCTTTATCAAACTTGTTACACACATCAACACACATTGTTTTACTTGTGCCCTTTGCTAATAAGAAATTTCTCAGTTGAATTATTTATGTGTTTCGGTTGTTAACAAATTTCCCTATTTTACCAACTTATGGGACCATGACCAGCACAACTTTTACAAAATTGGTATCATCTGTGGTACATTGACACATTGCAGCCACATGCTAAATGCTAGAAATTAGTTCCTGTTTTTCAGAGTTAGTGCCTGCAGAGTGTACAAACCAAGTCTTTGCTACACATTTGAATTGAGCAAGTAGTTTTCTATGTATTTCAGAGCTCAACCCTTCGTGTATAAACAACCTGATGTTATATCAGAAGGTGATGATAGTTCTAATACATCTAATACTAGTACTACAGATGTTACCATGGTTGATTCTACACACAATACACAAATTGATGTAAAGGGTGAGAATATTTTGAACAATTTATATAAAATACTGGTACAAAGTATACTAAACAGCAAAATAAACGTCAATACGATTTCAAAATCAGAGAGGCACTTTAATCAAATCATTCTAGAAAACTACTTACTAAATGGATCAAAGCAGCAATTTTTTGTGAACAATATGTTGACACATTAGTGATTAATTGATCACAATTCCAAGACATTACGAGAAGGATTAGAGTCTGTACACAGTCTATACATCAGTATCTGGTGTGTGCACCGTAAGTGTCAATAACAGCAGCGCAGAATCTATACATGGAGTGGACCAGACGATTGATGAACGCCACTGGCACCTGGAACCATACTCTCAGAAAAGCCTGGCGCAATCCATTGGCTGTGTTTGGTCTCGGTACGACGTTATTAAGTCTCCTCTGAATTTTATCCCAATGATGTTCAAACGGGTTTAAATCCGGACTGAGGGCCGGCTAGTGCATAATGTTGACACCGTTCTGCTGTAGGAAGTCCCAAGTAACTCTGGCGGTGTGCATGAGCGTTGTCATGCTGGAAAACGTTTCAATGACGTGCGAAATGTGGTATGGCTTGGGATCTGGTTTAAGCAAAGTCAACCCCAAACCATTATGCTTGGAACTCCCCATGAGCCTCGTTCCAGCCATATTCTGGTCCTGCCATCTGCAGTTGATACGCAATACTGACTCTCATCTGTGAACAGAACAGTTCTCCATTGCCTGTGTCGCCAGTTCTGGTGTTGTTGGGCAAACTGTAGATGTTCACGTCGATGGTGAGGGGTGAGGATCGATCCACAGTAAGGTCTACGGCAATGGATGTTCTCTCTGGTGAGATGTCGGTGCACTGTATAGGTACTGATGGGTCCTCTGTGTGTTCCCACTGTCTGACATGCCGCCTTAGATGCCTGTGTGAAGGGACTCTGCACATGCTGTCGCACAACATGGCGGTCTTATCGCATTGTGGTAACCCTTGGTCTACCAGTTCGATCATCCGTGGTGTTGGTGGCCTGAAAGCGATGCTGAAGCCTGTAGATGGTTCGAACATTGACCTGGAAGTGATTGGCAACGGCTTGTGCAGTTTGGCCAGGGTCGAGTCTTCCAAGCGCCTGGGGCCCGGTTCCTAGAAAATTCTTAAAGTAAGCACAAAGTCATGCTTCACTTTTTCTTACGTAAGAAACTTATAAAAATACCGTCCCTAGAAAATTATCAAGACCATTCTTACGTAAGCACAAGACAAGTATAAGTCTAAGCACATTTTGACTCGTAAAGTTTACCATAAACTGAGACTACGATGCTCTTTAACGTCACAAAAACAACTTTGGTATGCGAATTACGTCATAAATTTGTGGTCTGCTTCATTGACGTCATTTATATATGGTGGATTTAGATGCATTTGACATGTCCCCTATACACATATAAAATGTGCCACAAGATAAAAAACCCCAGACACATACAAACTAACTGAATAATTGTGAGAGCGCCTGATCTTAAGTAGCCTGTGTGTTTGTACTTCTAGCCTATTGTTTACTAATTGGCAAATAAATAAAATGCCGTCGAATAACTCTACGGTCAGTAATCTTTTTGCAATGGAAACAGACTTAAAGTTGGTAAGCAAGCCGTATACCTTGCTTGGGACATGTGCTTAGATTGACTATGTTTAAGAACGAAGTTGTGTTTAAGTTTTTTTCTTGGAACGCATAATAACATTATATTCTTGTGCTTACAATGAAGTCTACTTAAAATCTAAGCACAAGAATGTTCTTAAGAATTCTCCGGGAACACAAAATAAGGTAAGTTTACTTAAATGCAAAGTCTACTTAAATCTAAGCACCAGAACGTGCTTAAGAATTTTCTAGGAATTTGGCCCTGGTTCCTCTGAGCTGTCGTGAGTCATGGCATGCTGCTGACGTTGTAATATGAATAATTCAACCAGGTATGGGGGTGCATTTTATATGGCCGGTCCCAGTGAAGAGCATGTGCAGCATAAGTTACATGAAAATCATGGAGAACACATTACCATCTCAGAAGTCAGGTTGCGTTTTTGAGAACATTACCTGGGTTCAATTCAGTGATGGGATTTTGCCCGTATATTCCGGACTTGTCCGAATCTTTATTCCAAACGCCCAAAATTGTCCGACCGGGATTATGCCCAATTGGACATCAAGACATGGTGAAAAATATATTCAAAATTCCGAAATTGATATAGTTTACTGAGTGTATAACTACCACTCAACCAGATTATCGTCGATAATACGCTGGATTGATTAGGCAATTAAGTGATAACGCCCAGATCAATATAGACAGTCATTATAATTCGTCTGCGATATCACTTCGGTGGAAGAGAGCGTTAAATAAAGCTATTTCACACACACACATATCCGAAAAATACTTTGAGAAGGAGCCTTATTGCTCAGGTAAAGTTAGAGAAGTGGTCACAAATATACAATAAAAACATTTGGCAAGTTTTATGCAATGCGTCTATTCAGAGTAACATACCAACCTGACGTTTCTTTTGCTGCTTAGTATATATATTTTTTCTATATATGTAAACTTTAAACGCTGGCTCCCTAGCCTGGAGGTTGGGTGTTCAGTGCCTGCATTGGCCGAGAAAGTTCATCCAGATTTTCCGGCGTGGTTCCCCCTTGTCAGTGATGCAGGACGGAGGGCCTGACAAGGACATCTGTCTAGTCATTTGGATGGGACAAAAAACTGAGGTCTGGTGTTCACATTGGCGTGCACCTAAAAGATCCCCTGACAGTTGGAATTCAATATAAGAGTAGGCGATAGTGCCGCTGCCCGGGCAAAAATTCCCTCATAGCACACTGTATGGCGTATGCCCATCTTCATTATCCCAGCATAGGAGCAGAAAAGTAGGACGTTAAACCCCATTTCATTTTATTTCAAACTTTAAACGATAAAGCATCAGCTTATTTTAATTTTTAGATAAATTGTGAATGAACAGTATTAGGCAATGAAATGAAATGAGGTTTATCATCCTACTTTTCAGCTCCATTCAGGTTAATAAAGACAGGCATCTGCCATATATTATGCTATAAGGGAAATTTTGCCCATTAGTGACTCTACAGCCTATTTCTATTTCGAATTTCACTGTCAAGAGCTCTTTCACTTCCAATCCAATGTATACACAGGACTTTACTTTTTCGTACCATCTGAACCACTAGATTTTATTCCTTGGCAGGCCCTCTGTCTGGCTCCAATGACAAGCAGAAACCATGCCAGAAAATCCTGAGAATCTTTCATCAGCCAACACCGGGATCAGGCCCTGGTCCTACAGCTAGCCAACACATTACTCACTGAGCCACTGGCTCCTTTTAGAAAAAAAGCTGGTGTATAATATAGCTTTAACAAGAATTTTAGATATATTGATATTGACTACAAAACTTGATTTTAACTGCTTGTTATATATTTTATAGAAGATGTGAAAGAAGCTGATAAACTGTTTGAAGAAACCGCTGCCTGGTGATTAGAGTTTTCTTGAAAACAGCTGTAATTGTTTTCTCATCTACTTTAAATTTGATAGACTCATTATTTCATTGTTATACATAGAATCTGTGATATATGTCATCCATCATTATTTAGCAATATTGTGCTTTATTTATGTATATGAAAGTGCTACATAGCTGTTTTGTGTTTAAGATTTGACAAAGAAGACAAAGACATTATAAAAGAAATAAGAATTCAATTAAATCGTGTAAAAATTATTAAGTGACAATTGATTGTTTGATTTTCATCTGTATTTAATAAAATATGAGAAAGTACAAACTGTGTTGATCCTATATATTAAAATCAGTATATGGATCAATTTATATAGACACAAGCTGAAAACTAAAAACCTTGGGTATCAAATTCTAAAATATTTAAAATAGAACATACATAAATATCCAAATTGACAAAACCAAAATAAGTGCTCATTATATAGGTTGTATTAAAGGGGAAGATGCAGTCCAAAAAATAAAGTCTTGTGTCAAAATATTGAGCAGTTACAACAAGAAATGATAACTAGTGGTTGCCAGGCAAGATACACCCACATTTTGCAAGAAATGGACAGAAAATAAGCTAAGAAACAAGCAATTTTTCGTACAATCAGGGGCAATAATCCAGGAAGTTATGATCTGAAATGCGCGAATATCGAAAGGGACTGAGATTTGGGATACAAAGATATATTTTAAATTTCATTTCGGTCAGATTTTTACGAAATTCGAACTCAACCTTCATCGATGTGTAACGGTGATATATTTAAACATTTGGTTTTTTTTTCTTTTAAATTGGATAGAAATTGGGAACCACAAGCCAAAAACGTGATTTTTCGTACCATCAAGGACCATATTTCAGGAAGTTACGATCCGATATGTGCGAATATTGCAAGAACCAAGATCTTTGGGTTATAAACATGTATTTCAAGTTTCATCAAAATCGGATCAAAATTATGACCTCCAGAGGGTCCACAACCTTGATATACTATATTTTTACACTATTTGCTTACAAGGAGCGACCATTTTGTCCGGCAGTTTTGGTCCGAATTCCACAAAAATCGAACTCCACCGACATTACGGTGTAATGGTGATATATTCGAAAGTTTTTTTTTAATCAGATAATAATTATGACCTCTAGAGGGACCACAAGCTAAAACGTGTTTTTTCGTACAATCGGGGGCCATAATTCAGGAAGTTACGATCCGATATGCGCGAATATCGAAAGGAACCAATTTCTTTGGGTTATAAAGATGCATTTCGTAAAAATTGAAAAAAAAATAGTGACCTCTAGAGTGTCCACATGCTGAAATCGTGATTTGGCATCCCTGACATGGGGGAACCACGCCGGAAAGTCTGGATGAACTTTCTCGGCCAATGCAGGGATCGAACAAACGACCTCCAGGCTAGCGAGCCAGCGTCTTACCCACATAGCCACGTGATCCGATATAACACTCTGATGACGCCACAACAGGTTTACGGACTCTGCAATGAAAAAGGACACAAATTTTTTTTTTTTTTAACATTTTATTCACTTTTTTGTACAATGATGTCAAACGATTCGGACGACGAACTTGACCAGGCCCATGTTAATAAGTTTGTTCATCTGACCATCAAGAACTTGTCTAAAACTCTCAAATTCTGGATTGTGTAGCATATTCACATCAGTTTTATTTGCAATAATCTTATTATACTCATACCTTCCAGCGAACACAGGATTTTTCGCTCACTATCGTGTTTTTTTATTCCGCCACACTGACCAACTGTTAAAAAAGTTCACAGCCCACTGATTTCTGCGTAAGGGGCACGGCATTGTTGGCACATTCACTGACGTCTTGTCACTCGAAATTGAAAAGCGTCATTTGTATCTCACAATCCGAAATATCCGAATACATTAAATCCTTGTTAAATATTTTCTGCATAAATTCTTCACTTTGACTAGCTTTAAATAATTCTTTGTCAGAAGCTACGTTATCTTTTTCAACCATATTTTCTACAAACTGACTTTCGCGGATGAGTTCGTCGTCGGAATCGTTTGACAACACTGCACAAAATGAATGCCCGTTTGTGAACACGTGGTTACTAAAATGTAATGCACGTGCAACTGACGACAGGTTTTCTTAATTTTGTCATATCATTCACAGGGCCGATATGGGCTAAACCATTGTCTTATAGGTGAAAACAATTAGGATAGATTTAACATTGATGTCGGTGTGTAAGACAAATATTACCATAATACCCTCGGTCGATATGTGAAATAACCCACGGCCTCCGGCCATGGGTTATGGCGGATGCCCGTCTTCATTAGCCCAGTTCGGAGCAAATAGGACGTTAAACCCCATTTCATTTCATTTATTTCACATCAACCCTCGATTAGGGTAATATTTATCTCTTATTCCCTGGATAATCGTCATGAGCCCGGTTGATGTAGAAAACTAGGAAGCTAAACCCCATTTCATTCATTCGCTATTCTCTGAGTTTTCCCCTTCATGACGTATATTATGGATTGCATGACTGTGTAAACTCGGTATTATCTCGGACATATATTTGTGAGTAAACGATATTGATACCTGTGTTTAAAGAAGAACATATTTCAGATTAATTCAGTTTGTATACGCACAAGTTATACCAAAGTATGAGTTGTACCATTACGCAGTTGTGGGATTTACCGTCGAAATTATGCCGTGGTTGATTTTGTATCATTGAAATGAAATGTGCTATGAGGGAAATTTTGCCCGGGCAGCGACACTATCGCCTACTCTTATATCGAATTCCAACTGTCAAGGGATCTTTTACGTGCATTCCAATGTATACGCGGGACCTCCGTTTTTCGTCTCATCCGAAGGACTAGACAGCTGTCCTTGTCAGGCCCTCCGTCCTGCTTGTATCATTGAATAAAGGTTATTATATAAAAAAATGTTTTAAAAAAGTAAATACTCTGCTGCAAAATATGTAAATAGACCATCAACTTATTTAAACATAAGTTAAAATGTGGAACTTATTTAAACATACATTATGTAAGAGCTAAATCTGCCTATTGCAAGTCTTTATTTAGGCTTCAGATGTTATACAAATTATTAATTAGACCTTTTTAACATGCCAAGCTCAAAAGCAACCATGTAGACCCTCAGATGGCTTGGATACAGCTTGGATTTAAACAGTCGTCCATTTAAAATTAAATCAAGAAATGGCCGACAAAGCTAACGTTTACCGTTAGTCACTGACATCGCCATCGGAAAATAGTTTTGAAAGGCCTACCAAGCGAGGGCAATATAGCCACTGAGAATGTTACTTGATAATCGAGAATATTTGGGAGGAGTTATCGTCTGTCAATCAAACGATCGGTAATTCTCGTAGACGGTGCGGACACAGTTGATGCCTATTTCTAGTCCATACTTCCAACAGTGAAAACTCCGTTCAGAATAAAGTAATTGGACTGAAATTTCAATATTTTCTTTTTTTATCATCTATTTTTGAATTATTATAGCAAGAATGGGCAACTCTTTATTAAACTCTTAACTAATGTATCTTTAATAATGAGGAGGAAATCTTAAATTTATACCAATTTGTCAAACTTATCCTTCGACATTTTAAATAACCAGGAAATTATCCTGAACATGATCAAATTGTATAATATACACTGTTCATTTCATTGTTAATAATATAATGTGAATATATCTTATATCGAAGGCAATGCTTAGGAAATATTATCTTTTCTCCATAAGTTACGTTAAACCCTATTTCTCTCCTCTCTCGCTTTCTCGGGGAAACCCCGATTAAATTAGTAGATTATTATCAATCGTATTGTGGTTTGGCCTTCGTCTGAACAAAGTCAAGTTCTATTATTAGGACGTAAATATGTCCTTTCTGAAAGTAGAATGTGCGTGTCATAGCAATCGGTAAACAAGTAATGCAAACCAGTTGACGTCCAAAAAATCTTGACTTTTGGTATGCATAGGTTTTCAGAAGTAAAAGACCGTTTATACCGAGAACAAACGCGGTGATCGATTTTGATTAACTACTATTTATACCAATGTGCCAGCGCGGTGTAATTTGTGTTCGCTCGGAAAACAGCGGAGATTGCGTCTAGAGAAAAGTAACGAATTTCATTAGCCAACCAGGTGCAGAAGACATACGTGTTGAAGTCGTTCGCGTTTCGAATCCCCGGTTGTACGTGGCAAGGAGTAGGGTCGCCTGTCCAACCTCGTGGGTTTTCTCCGGGTCCTCCGGTTTCCTCCCACTGCTAAAGACCCCTACGCGCAAGCGAATTATGTAAATAAAATTAAACCATGTTAGTCCCGAAATGACCTAGTTTGTGTCGAGTGGACGTTAAACCCCATTTCTCTCTCTCTCTCTCTGAAGTCGTTCGCACATAAACGGCCCTTAACAGGCGATATTAAAGGCCCATTTATACTGAGATAGGGCTTGTCCTCTATTGATCCCAATGTTTCACACCAAATTAGAAAATAAATACATTGAAAACTGTAGCTACTATCGCGTTAACAAGTTTTCAGAAAGGATGGGGTAACTTTTGGACCAAAAGGTTGGGCGCTGAATATCAATAGGGTTCAACCTTATGAACCCAATGTTTCTGGCCAAATTTGAAGAAAATCCATTATAGACTTTTTCAGAAATGAGGGGTGGGGGTAACTCTGGGATTAAAGGTCCCGGAGCTCTGAAAATTGTGACCTCAATGTTTCACACCAAATTTTAAACACAACCGTTAAAGGACAATATTGGTGCCGGTCATTATCACATACGTGATAGAGCTGGTTGAACACATTCCAAATATAATTTTAACACAGAGATCATTGCTACGATAGCTGAGTAATACAGGTTTCCTGAATCGGAAGTGACGAACGCCAAAGGAAAACACGAGTAATGCCTTTATATAACTGACTGGCGTTCGTCAGCATATCGGAACCTAATCCAATAAACATCGCAGGCTAGCGATGCCATCGAGAGTTTATTATGGTCTGGATAAGTTAATTAATGTCTAATTAATAATTTAGATAACATTTCAGGCCTAAAGAAAGACCTGCAATAGGCAGATTTAGCTCTTGCATAATGTATTTTTAAGAGTTTAATAAAGAGTTGGCCATTCTTGCTATATTAATTCAAAAATAGATGATAAAAAAGGAAAATATTGAAAATTTCAGTCAAATTACTTTATTCTAAACGCAGTTGTCACTGTTGGATGTTTGGACTAGAAATAGGCATCAACTGTGTCTGCACCGTCTACGAGAATTGCCGATCGTTTGATTTACAGAAGATAACTCCACCCCA